CATTAATAAAAGGAAGTACTTCAGATAAAATTATTTATTTAAAATGCTATTCCTGGAAACTGTCACAACAACTTGCTTTTGAAGGATTTCTTTAGTGTTCATAATAACACGGTCGTCCTAAGGACGTCCTTTGGACATCCCCAAAAAAGGGACGTATTGCGGACGACCTAAGGACGTCCTCTGGATGTCCCTTGTTTGCTGGGAAGCTGTCCACGCTCGTAACTGTGTTGTAAAACTGTAACCTTATGTCATGAAGTCACAGAAGTTCAAATGCGACACATTAATGTGACGCATTTTAACCAGTACAATGCAGTTTACCCATTGCCAAATAGCGATTAACGCCAATACCTTTTTACTGAATGGCTCTTTCCGCCTGATTTTACCTTTTTAGCACAAATGGATAAGAACATTTTAAACCACGTACTCTATTTTACCACTTTAAACAAGTATAATGCAAGCTTGCGAGTGGGTCACATGCTGTAGGTTGTCGCCATGTTGGTACAACATAGAGATAAACCACAAAAATGCATTTCCCCTATCAAATACATTGCAAATGTGAGCAAACACCCATATAATATAAAAAAGGAAAAAGTATATTCGGAAAAAATATATATATTTATACCTTTGATTGAGCAATTCGCTCAATAAGTTCAAAGCATGTATTTCCTATCTGCAAAACAAACAAAAAACAATTCAACTTGGCATACATAATTAGCTTATGTATTAGAGAACTGAAAGGGATGAGATGTAAACCCACTGTTGCCTCCATTTCATTGTTCAATCCCAAGTGTTTCATGGAGCACTTAATATTTCACTTGGATACTGAGGATATGAATGTCACTGTAGTATTTAGTAGTATTTTGGTGTTCCAGCAGCCCAAGAACAGAAATAGCAATGAAATTAATGGTGGCTAAAAATTAGAATACAAGTCCCAAGAAGTCAGCACGGATCAGACAACTTTTTCCTGTTTTTACAGTTAGCTCAGCCTCAGGGTTGTTAGTGTCCAAGATGTAGTACAGCTGATGATTGTAAAAGGAAAAAAGAAAAAAATGCGGTTTCACAAGTCATCACTTTCATAACAAGCATATTTAATATTAAGATATATTAAGATTAAGAGGAACAAGGGTGACAGGGCTTCGAGAAGAGAAGTAAAATGTCACACAGCTACCTCTTTACTTAGAGACACATACCAGCTGCTCTTGGGCAGGGTGAAGTTTCAGTGTCCATGAGGCTCGACATGGTCTCACATTTTCACATTTGTGATTGTTTCACAATGTAAGCCACATACATCGGTCTCTACAAAAGGGAGTTAAAACATAAAATCATAAAATGATCCAAGTTGCTTATTTTCTCTCAAATCTACTACCTACCTGTGTATGGGTCGTTTGGAGGCCCCTGCTCCTGCAGAGGTGCTCCAGCTACTGAAGGTTGATGCTGTGTTGATGTATCAGGTGCTGTGGGTCCTGATGTTTAAGAAATCATTATCATACAACTGAAGCATTGTATTTGAAATTAACCATATAAAACAAAATATTTCCTTAAAGTTGTATTTTACGAAACACTGCTTGTTCAAATTTGTCCTGTGTGATGTCTTGCAAACGATGTGACTCACGTCCTCTCTGCAATTGTTTCTCCAAAAGCTTTGCATTCATACTGTTCTTTCTATGATGTACTATGTTTCTCGTTAAAAAATGTTTGTTATGGGTGCCATGTTATTAAGGAAGTAGTTGTTTCTCTGCATAAATGGTAAATAGGCTGCATTTATATAGCGCTTTTTACTACTCTTACGAGTACCAAAGCGCTTTACAGTTATGCCACACATTCACCCATCCACACTCACATCCACACACCGGTGGCGGAGGCTGCCATGCAAGGCGCCAACCAGCTCACCGGGAGCAATTTGGGGTTCAGTGTCTTGCTCAAGGACACTTTGATGGGGTCAGGAGGAACCAGGGCTCGAACCTGCAACCTTTCAGTTGCCGAACGATAACACTACCTCCTGCACCACCATCGCCCCCATACAAGAAAAAAGTTGCTCGGCCACCTGGCTATTCAATGAACCCTGAAGTTCAGGAACCAGGTAGATCTGCCATAACACTTCCTGTGGGTCTTTGGTATTGGCCTCATGGAATCGGTCATATAAGACATAGTGGTCTGAGGAACCAGTGCATGGATGCCCATCTTCATCAGGATTCTGCAATGCTTCAGTCAGCCATGGTAATGAGATCTTGAGTTTTCTCTGCTGAGCTGCTGTGATGTTTTCTTCTGTGGACGCAGCCAGTCTCCCTTCATGTGGCTTGAAAGGTAGCATAGTTGAGAAACATAGGTTGCCATGAGTTGCCAAACCCCGAGCAAAATCATAAACTGTGACATTTGGCACGTGTTTCCAGGACAGAAGAAGATCTGCAAAATCCCTTGGAGACTCTGCCCGCAGGTTAAACTTTAAACCGTACACCACACTATGAGGGCAGAGAATCACTG